CTCCCTCTTTCTGCTAGAGAGCCCTCTTTCTGTTAGACAGCCCTTCAACATCTCACAGAACTAGGGGGGCAAATGTTCTGCTGCCAGACACCCCCAAATCAGGGCACAAGCAGCGTTTATCATAACCCACCCTGTGCCAGAAAAGCATACAAATGGCTCCCAAATATCCATAAAGTACACCAAGAAAACAAGAATGGGAAGTAACAGGAGATGAAAACCACACAAAGACAGGCACACGAAATGGAGTCATGCGTGAGGCTGCTGGAAAAGCAAACGGCAGTGCGTACGGAAACCCTCACGTGTGTGTAACTTGATCTCTTGCCAATTCAGTGTCCTTAAAATAAGAACAAACCAACTGTTCCGGAGAAGTGAAATTATTTCTGCTGCTGAGACTCGACAGGAATTTCTTCTGAGGATCTTCACAAAGAGGACATGGTGCAATGTCACAATCCTTGAGATCAGAGCAGACATACATTTCCCATAAGATTTAATCCCTAACGAAGACCTTAAAATAGGGTGGGTGAGGCCACTAGGAAACCAAGAATGCCTAGTCCCCTCCCAAAGAAACCACCACAAAAGAGGGTCCATGGCACAGGCTTAAGATGCCCCTTCACCGTCACACTGGTGACAGAATCCATAGGCTGGCACAATCTATTTGGGGGATAGTCTCTACTAGAATGTATTCACAATGGTCATAAATTGGAAACACCCTAAGTGTCCATTGTTAAATGACTGGCTAAACAATTTGTGGTATATTCATACAATGCAGTATTCTTAGAAATAAAAAAGAACAAACTGCTAATATACACAAAATCAAACATGAATCTCAAAGAATTATATTGAGAAGCCAGACAAAAAGAGTATATATATTGTATGATTTGTATGACAATATAAAATAAGCAAAACTAGGGACTTCCCTGGTGGTCTAGTGATTAAGAATCCATGCTTCCCCTGCAAGGGGCAAGGGTTCGATCCCTGGTCAGGGAGCTAAGATGCCGCATGCCCCAAGGTGTGGCCAAAAATATATAAGTAGAACTGCGGTGAGATTCTACTCTACACCTACCAAATTGGTTGGGAAAAAGACCTGAAAAATACAGTGATCTAACAATATAATATCAAGTACTGGTGAGGATGCAGAGCAACTCCAGTTCTCAAAATCGCTGTTGCAAAATAGTACAGAGCAACTGTACACACACGTACGTAAGTGAACCCATGCAAAACTGTAAACTCTGAATAAGTCCTGTGGCCTGCACCAACAACAGTTACCTGGTTTCCATGGGGTACAGTAGGTAGGCAAGATGTTAGCACTGGGGGAGGCAGGGTAAAGGCTGCAGGTGGCCTCCTGTACATTTCTGTAACTACTTCCAACAATTTTTTGTTTGTTTAAGAAACAAACCACTTGAAGGCTTGGTAGGATGCTGGCTATACGAGTGTACATTCAGTCTGTGAATATTCACAGAGCTAAACGCTTCATTACGAGCCCTCTAAGTGTACGTAATACAGTACTTCAATACAAAAGTTTATAAGAAAGGTTTTGTTGAACTTTGGTCATGTCTCTCCTAGACTCTTTCCCTTCACAAAAAATACAGTCCAATTTTTGTAGCGTGATCTGAAAGTCCTCTACAATCTGGTTCCCACATTATCTCCACTTCTTCCTCCTCCCAGGCCAGTGTCTGCTGTGCCATTGGACACCGTGCCCTTTCTGAACCCCAGGCCTGGCTCCCAAGTGCCCGTATCCACGGCGTTCCCCACAGAGGGGTAGCCAGAGCAAGATGCACACAGTTCAGTTCAGTCGCTCAGTCATGTCTGACTCTTCGCGACCCCATGGACTGCAGCATGCCAGGCCTCCCTGTCCATCACCAACTCCCAGAATTTACTCAAACTCAAGTCCATTGAGTCGGTGATGCCATCCAACCATCTCATCCTCTATCATCCCCTTCAATCTTTCCAAGCATCAAGGTCTTTTCAAATGAGTCAGTTCTCTGCATCAGGTGGCCAAAGTATTGCACACAGGGTTCCCAGATTCAGCAGGAAGAATGAGCTATTTCATGTGTAGTTTGTAAACAAGAGGGAAGGGGGTAGGGCATAACCTTTGAAAGAATGATGAAGCCCAAGGACACGGGGTACACTGATTAGAACCAAATGGCTCAAAGATGGCAGACAAGTCAACTTCAACTAGACCTTCATCCTCAGTAACAGCTCAGCAAGCTAAATGACTCACCAGAGGCGCCATGACAGTTTCAAGAACATCAAAGACCAAAAAGTGGGTGGTGGTCCAATTCCTGGAAATCTCCACCTCTTCCCCAAAATTGTTGGAATAACCATTTTGCTCATTAACTTATGAATTACCCAGTCCATAAGAGCTAACTACACCACATTTCCAGGCTGCACTTGTGTTCTTCGATGGTCCACTCTGTGGCACGAGTTTCTCCTGAAACCGTGCCTTCATTATGAAATGGCCCACATACTGTGGAGTGTTTCTCTCTTAATAAATCTACTTCTTACCTACCACTTTGTCTCTCACTGAATTCTTTCTGCGATGAGACATCAAGAGCTTGAGCTTCATTAGGTCCTGAAACCAGATGTATGATCTCACAAGACAGTGAGTTTTGGCCACCTTCGAGTCCCAGCCATTTGGGTTTAAGTTCCAAGCTGGGCTTTGGTAGGGTCCAAGTTCCGGCACATGGATTCAAGTCCCAATTTGAGGTGAATGGTTTCAGTTTCTTCCATTCACTACCTTTGAGGAAATAACATCTCAAACATTGTGGGTTAAAAGGAAACAAATTATTAACACTAAGGTCACTTGTTCCCTTCTGACTGCGACATCAAGTCACTGGAACGGCGGGGGCTCCAAACTTCTGCAGCGAAGGAGCCACCACACGCCCCATCCGGCACAGCGGAAAGCCTACGAGCGCCTCCGTGCGGAGGACACGCGGGAAACGCACGTTTGCCGCGTCTGCGTGCGGAGCGTGCGTGGGAGAGCGCGGGGCGGGGTCGGGCCGGGGCCAGAGAAGCGTGCTATCGGGAGCGCGCGAGATGGCCTGAGGCACCAAGGAGCCTGCGCACCGAGGGGCGGGGCGGGGCGGGGCGGGGCGAGTCCGGGAAGGGGCGGGGCCGCAGCCACGCCCCCGATTCCCGCCGCCTGCTGGTGAGACCGCCTACTCCCAAGGACAGGTCTTGGGTATTCCCTTGACCCCGCCCCGAGCCCCGCCTCTGGCCTATAGGAACTGAGTAGTCCCGCAGACACCGGAAGGAGGCGGAGCCTCTGCCCTTGCTGGCCAGACATCCTGGTTCCACAGCACCCTCTATTGACCCTTTTAGGCGCTGCCTGCAACCCGTAGGACGCGTCTTGCACTGGCTAAAAGGGGTCGCTCTACTGGTCTTGGGAAGTGGCGTTCCCGCCCAGATCCTAGCTAAGCCCGTTCCCTCAAACACGCGTTTAATTTATGTAAATATACCTATATACACCCCCAAAAGAGAGAAACCTACAGTGATAATGCTAAGTGAAAGAATCCAGATTCAAAAAGCTAAATTTGTATTGTCATATACTATAAATAAATATATTTATAGTATGACATTTTAGATAAGACAAAACTACATAGGAATCATAGGAATAGAGCCTTGGTTGCCAGGAGCTGGGTGGATCACAAAAGGGCAGGGGGGAACACGGGGATGAAGAAAGTAATTTCTATTTTGATTATGGTGATGGTAACACAGCTATATACATTTGTCAAAACTCCCACAACCAAAATCTAAAAAGTGAATTTTTACCTAAGATAAATTACACTTTAATTTCTTTAAATGCTAGAAAACAAAAAGCAGATTGGTGGTTGTCAGGGGATCAGAGAAAAGGAATGGGGAGATTGATTAATGGATCATTTTAAAATGAGAAATGTAAATGTTTTGAAACTAGATAGAGGTGATGGGTATATAGAATAGTAATGTAGTAAATGCTGACTCATTGAAAAGACCCTAATGCTAGGAAAGATTGAGGGCAGGAGAAGAGGGTAACAGAGGATGGGATGGTTGGAAGGCCTCACTGACTCAATGGACATGAGTTGAAGCAAACTCCAGGAGATAGTGAAGGACAGCAAGGCCTGGCGTGCTTCAGTTCACGGGATCGCAAGGAGGCAGACATGACTTAGTAACTGAACAACAACAAAATGCCATTGAACTGTTCACTTTTAAATGCTTGATTTTAAGTTCTGTTAATTTCACTTAAAAAAAGTATTAAAAGTTAAAAAAATACAGGCCCCTGCCTTCCTTTCTATCCAACAAATTCATGTCTAGAAGCATTCAATGTGGGATTAGGTGTGAATCCGCTATTCTGCTCTGACCTCAGTCCCCTCGTACCTGTCACATACCTGAGGAAAAGCAGGTCAAGAGCGAGATGTTATTAAGCCATCTCTGGTCATTCAGGATTAAGAAATTTAACCTTGAGCCCTTATGATTCCCAGCTTTCAGGAGAGAAAACTGAGTCTCAAAGATCAAGAGATCTGCTCAAAGTGAAACTGATCAACAGCAGACCGACTCCAGGACCTGAGCTCTTAAACACGGCACCTTGAGGCAGTGCTCCCTTCCCTTCTGCAGAGGAGGATCCTGTGGTTCAGAGAGGTTACACAAGCCTGGGAAGTGGCAATCAATCGGGAGCCCTGAACATCCTGTGTCCTTTCTCTAGCAGACGGGAACTATTGGCTTAGTTGTTTATTCTCTCCTGTCTCCCACCCAGGAGAAATTGGGAGCCGCTCACCTCAATCCCAACACCATCTCCCCTCTTTGCAGAATCCCCAGAGTAAACCCAGGGAATCTCAGGACCCTGATTTCTCATCACAACACCACACGTAAGTTGGGGGAGTCATCACGCTCACCCACATCCAGTCCCCTTCTGGCGGGCCCAAACAGTACCCCCCAGGGAGCTTTCGCCAACCCCTCAGGACAGAACACACCCAGGAGATAGAGAATCTAAAAAACAAAGTACAAACTTTATTTTGTTTCTTTATAAAGGCACAGTGGCCTCTTGGTTTCCCCCCCGCCCCACTTTTTTAACAAAATATAATAGCTTCTCCTTGAACATAAAGACCTCAAAATTGTAAAAAAAAAAAAAAACAAAAAAACAAAAAAAACCAAAACCAAAAAAGAACCAACAACAAACACAACAAAGAGAGAGACAAAGACTTTTTTGGGGTGCAAGATGGGAAACCCGGAGGGAGAGGTGGGGGGCTGGGTGGTGAGGGAGGGGAGGGGAGAAGGGCAGCAGCAAACCCCAACCGAGAAGCAATGGAGACCCCCGGACCCCCAGAGCCCCGACCCAGCCAGACCCCCAACCCATGTAAGTGCTTAAAGGAGAAAGAACACCAAAAAAGAGGAGGGAAGGGGGAATTAAAAACTGACGGTCGGCAGGCTGGCTCTGGAGAGGGCAAAAATACCTTGGGGTTTTGTTTGATTTTTTTCCCTGTTCTTAAAAACATGTTTCATTGAAAAAATGCTTTTTTGGTGGAGAGAGGCCAGGCACCTCCACGTCTGCTTCCCCAGCCTCCGGGGCCGAGGCCCAGCCCCAGGTGCCCGGGTGCTGCCAGGCGCTCCTGCCGCCCCAGCCCCGACCTCGGGTAGGGCGGCTTCACTCAAAGGACGATTTACAGTATTGAAAAAAGAGGTCATAAAAGAGACCCAAATGACGCCGTAAATTTTGTAAAAATTTCTCACTCGTTCACCCTCGTCTCTCTCCCAGTTGCTGCCCCGCCCCCTCCAGCCCCCAGAAGGGAGAGGAGGGCTGGGGGGCTGGTCAGGGAAGCCCCCCGTTCCCTGCTGGCTCCTCCCGGCCCTGGTCCATGGCATCGCTGTCTGAGGCCTCCGAATCGGAGGCGGTGTCCGAGGCATGGGCCTCGGGGCAGCCGCGGACGGGCTTCACGATGACGGCTCGCCGCTGCTCCTCCTCCTGGCCCTGGGTGCCCTCGATATGCTGGATCGCCTGGGATTGGGCGGGGGGGGAGGCTGCCGTGAGGATGCGGGGGCCATGTGGACCACCAGCATCTCCAGCAATGTCTCCCTCACCAGCTCCCCCACCACCCACACACCCCCCAGAAAGGTCCAGAAGGCAGCCTGGCAAAAGGGGCAGCCGGTTCAGAGTCAGGGGGAAAATAAACTTTAGAAGCTCTCTCCCGAGCTGAATCTGGCTTGGAAGAAGGACAGTGCAGGCCTGCCTGAAGTCATAAGCCTCTTTCCCTCATTTATGTATTTCAAAAGCCTGCCTGTTGGCTTTATGGAAGGTCTCTGTTATTAATTTTATTATTCAGTTCGCCGGGTGAAACTCAAGTTCCTGGGACTTCAATGGACTTTTTTTTTCCATTTGGGCCTTTGGGTTGTTTCTTTCTTTGTAATGTTGTTGGACCTCCCAAAGGGGTCTCTCTGCACAAGGCTGGACATAGCAGGGACTTCAGGGCTCGACCTTCAAAGTCTAGCATCTCGTTTCTTCCTCCTCCACCTCCACCCTCATCCCAAATCCCAAGAGACAGATGCAAGAACTCTGAAAGCAGGGGGCTCCGGGAACAAAGGACACCCCCAGCAAACCCCCACGAGGGAAGGAATGGGGTCTTCCTGGCCATCCGATCCCTCCCTCTCTGCCCCTAACCTAGGATGCAGAGATGGAACCATCTGGCTTCCAGACCTCCTCCCCCAACTCAACGCTCAATATCCCTGCCTCTATCCCCTCCACTCCCCCACTCTCTAATCTCTCCCCAAAGGGCCTATTCCCAAGGGGCAGCCCCCAAGCACTGCCCTCTACCCAGGCCCAGGTACCTGCACGATGGTGTCCAGATTTTGCCGGGACGTTGAAACAGAGTTGATGACCGAGGAGGGGCCCATGGTGACGACGTTGATGTGGTGGGAGGGAGGGGGTGCCGGCGCCGGCACTATCACCGTGGGGTGGTGGGTGGGGGCCGGAGTGGGCAGGAGCTGCGAGACAGGGGCCCTCAGTCTCTCTGCAGAGTTTCTAGGAGCAGCCCCTTTCCTTCTGTCCGTCACAGTGGGTGCGGGACAGCCCTCCAAACCATCTCCCTCTGCCCACCACCTGGAGAGCCTCCACCAATCACCCCAGCAGCCCGTCAACCTCCTTCACTGACAGTTTGGGGCCGCCCAAATCGTGACCCCTCCCACCCCCTCTTATTTTAAGAAATGAAGGCAAGGTGGCCTGGAGAGGGACTTCTGACCATCTGAGACTGCACGGGCCTTCCCTCTCCGGAGCCATGCCAGCATTTTACATCTAATGAATACAGTGGTGGCCGGGAGTTCAGACTGAATCTAGATGGCCAGGGTTCAAATCCCTGCCCCACATCACTGAGAAATCTTGGGCGTGTTAGTGAACCTTTCTGTGCCTCTAATTCCTCATCAGTAAAACAGGAGTAGTGACAGCTCAGGCCTCAAAGGGCTGCTCTAAGGATTCAATATAATCATGTAAAGACGCCTGGGAGCCAGGAACATCTTCACTACTGCGACCGAGGTCCTGGGTCCACCCTGCTGGACACTGACGCTGGGTCTGGGAGCCCCAGCCCAGCTTCGGGTGGCCCCTGCAGGCCCCTCCCGCTCACCTGGGTCCGCAGGTGCTGCTGTTCCCGCTCCAGCTTCTCCTGGTGCAGCAGCCGGACCTGCTCCTGCTGCTGCTGCAGCTGCACCTGCTGTGCGATCACCTTGAGCTTTTCCGGGTACATGTGGGCCTCCAGGGAGCGGACCTGGGGGTGGAGCAGTGGGGCTCAGGGGCGGGGCCCTCCGCAACATCCTCAGGGTGGAGACCAAAGTCCTGCACTGTAGCCTGCCGGGCCCAAGCTGACTCCCCTCCCTCCTGCAGGCTGTGCTCCCTCCGTGCCTACCTCCAGCCCTAGGCCTTTGCCCATGTGGTTCCCTCTGCCTGGAGCACCCTTCTCCCCTCTCTGCTCCTCCCACCCCCACAAGGAAGCTGTGGGGTGGAACCAGCCCAGGCTCCCCCCTCGCTGATTGCCCACCGATCTGGTATGGCCTTTACCACGGATACATGTTTACAGTGTGAGTGCCTGACTCATCTCCCCAGTCTTGGACAGTGACCAACCCCCCCAGGGCAGGAATCTGTCTGGTTTGCTCCCCACTGATCACCCCACTGGACACCCGACTCCCAGCCCCGGCACAAAGCAGGAGCTCGGAGCTGACAGCATTGCCTCACCTGCTCCTCTAGCATCATGCGCACCGAGCGCTCCTTGTCCAGTTGCTGCCGCAGCTCGATCATCTCCCGCCGCAGATCCTCCGCCTTCTCGTCCTCCCAGATGTCGGGTGAGCCAATGCCCTCATCTTTGTCCTCTGCCCGCCGCCGCTTGGGGGATGAGCCGCTCAGCTCCTGGGGAACCCCCAGGGGCTGATGAGTGTGCAGTGACACTGCATACACCATCACCACCACCACCAGGGCAGTGGGGAGCTCCACTGCAGCCCCCCAAAGCTGTCAAACCCAGGTGCACGTGCACGAGGCAGCCCCCTGTGCAAATCCACCAAACAGCCACGGCCAGAAAGGGAGGCAGAAGGGACCTGCTTTCCCAAAGTCACCCAGTTGCTTCCAGAGCCCACCCCACTGCACTGCACTCGCCCATGGCTAAGTCAGGACTCCAGGCAGGAAGGCAAGTGCCAGAAGTAGGCAGGTCAGTGGGGAAGAAGGGACCTGCAGCTACATCATAGTCCCAAGCCAGTGGTTGGGCCCAGAGATGCCCACACCAGGGAGAGGGTGCCAGGAAGAGGGCAGAGCGCTACCTGGATAAAGCGCTTGAGCTGTGTGTTCTGCTGCAGGAGCCGGGTCTTCTCCTGCTCCAGGGAGAAGATGTACTCTGCTGTCTGCTGGAGAATGGCTGCCTGAGGGCAGGAGGGACAAGTCAGGGACCCCGACTGTTGGCGTCTCCTGAGTCTCCCCCTCCAGCCCACCTCCTCCTCCAGGAAGTCCTCCTGGCACTTGCCCACCTTGCTGAGCTTCTCTCCATCTGTGTGGGGGATGAGGGTCTTGAGGGACTGGAAGCCCGCGTTGATGCTCTGCATGCGCCTCCGCTCGTTGCTGTTGGCGATCTCCCTCCGAATCCGCCGTTCCTGGTCCCGCTGAGTCTCAGGGGTCAGTGGAATGTTGGCCAGGCTATGGGAGAACAGCGGTGGGCTCTGGCTGGGCGCCCTCCGAGCCCTGCCCCCGGTGGGCCCCTGTCTTCATCTCCAGAGGGCCCAAGTGCAACAGGCAAGCTGCCCCTACAGAATATACCGGCTCTGTCTGATGCCTACACCCCCCAGCAGACCAGGCAGCTGATGGAGTAGCATGTTCTGAGATGCCTGGGTGTCAACATCAGCGTGTGGACCCCAAGTCTTGACCCCAGTGTCTGGCCAGCAGGTCTGAGTGGGACCCGGAAACCCACATGGCTAAGAATCCCTGTGATTCGGATGCAGGTGGCCTCAGGTGATAATCAGAGACACCTGCTCTTGGTACACCTCTGAGCTCCTCGCTGTGCCCCCAGGGCCCCCTCCTTCAGGGTCACAGGCTTGAGGACAGAGGAAGATGTCCCTCCTCCCTTCCCATCTCCACAGCCACATACACTCCTACATAAGCCCCCAGCCCAGCCCAAGACCCTGTGCTAAGACTGCCAAGACAAGCCGGGTACCAGTCACTCCAGGGAGAGGACCTGGCCAGCCCCACCTAGGAGCAGTTTGTCCCCAAGCCCACCCACTCTGAAAGGGAGGCCCACCATGGGCCAGAGAAGCGAGGCTCCCAGCTCGCAGCAGGCGATGTTATTGCATATTATGTGATCGCATCTCACAGGAGAGGCAGCCAGTGGAAGGGGACGAGACTGCAGGCTAAGAGGCGTTGGCGGGAGACAGAGCCAGCAGCGGGGCTGTGGGCCCAACGCCACTGCTCCCGAGGGGTGGGCCTGTGTGTGGCCTGGAAGAGGCAGGCTCCCCTCCCCGGCCCTCTCCTGCAACTCCCCCGCCCCTGGCCTGATGGCTTCCAGATGCCGGGCTCCCAGAAGAGGCCACCGGCCCCACCCAAAGCCACAGCCCCAGCTTCTTCCTGAGGGGCCCTCCTGGGGTGACCTGGTCCAGGCCCCGGCCGAGACAGCTCACACCCCCGGGTCTGGGGAACGCGGGGAGACAGTTCTGAGCAGCCTCGTTCCACTGATAGGGGAGCAGCCTGCACTCAGAGGCAGGTGCCCGGGCCCCTCTGACCACCCCAGGAAAAGAAGGGTTTGCTGCGAAACTGAGGAGGGGAGCGCGTCCCCCACTGCTGGAGACAGCCAAGGGCTTCCTGGCCCCCCACCCACCCTTCCTGTCCCCCTCACTCCCCTGAGCGACTCCATGAACTTGCCCTTGCCCTTTCCTGGGTCTCCACCTCCTCTCCCCACATAAGGGTGGTCGGCTGGGGGTGAGCTGGGAGCAAGCTTCACATCAGCTGCTGCTAGGGGTCCATACACCAGCCCTGTCCACCACTAGCAGCCCCAGAGTCTCCCTAGGAGCCCCCCCAGTCCCCTGCCAAGATACAGTTCCTTCACAGCACTGGAAAAGGGGGCCCATGACCCCCCGTTTACAAATGGGACTGAGGGCTCAGAATGGGAGGCACACGGTTTCCCGGTCAGACAGCTGGGCACCTGGCTCCCCTACTTCTGGGCCAGGGGCACCTCACTTCTCTCAGTTTCCCTGACCCAACAGTGGGAAGCTTCCCAGGTGGCACTAGTGGTAAAGAATCCGCCTGCCAACGCAGGAGACATGAGAGACGTGGGTTCGATCCCTGGGTGGGGAAGATCCCCTGGAGGAGGAAATGGCAACCCATTCCAGGATTCTTGCCTGGAGAATCCCATGGACAGAGGAGCCCGGCGGACTATATAGTTCATAGGGTCGCAAAGAGTAGGACACGACTGAAGTGACTTAGCATGCACCCACACAGTGGGGGTGATGGAGAAAAAGAGAAAATGAAGGTCAGAGACCTGATGCACAGTGGCTTGCCTGCCCTTTGCAGGTGGGGGGAGAAGGGAGATCAGAACTGAGTCTGGGCTCCCAGGCCTGCCAGCGCCCTTCAGACCCTCTGTGGCAGGTGGAGTAAAGATGGGGAGAGATGTCCCCGGGAAGCCAATGCACCAGGTGACTGACATCCATCTGGGAGTTTCCTATTCCCCCACCCGGAGAGATACAGGGAGAGACGCCCCCACTCATCCATTCCCTGGGTTCCCCCCTGGTGATGCCCAAAGACCATAGCTGACCAGAGCATTAAGGGTCAAAAAGGAGCCCCACCTCAACCCCTGGGCCACTCTGAGTGCTGGCCCTTCCAGAAGGCCCACCTGTAGAGCCTGGCCACAGAGTTAAAAGTCTTGAGAATTAGGACTGATGCTTTCCCTGCTGGGGGCCCAGGTTTAACCCACCCCTGGTTGGGGAACTAAGATCCTGCAAGCTACTTGGCATGGCCAAAAAAATTAAAAAATAAAAAAGTCTTAAGTTCTTAACATAATGTGCTAAAGACTCACTTCGCTGGAATGAGCTCACTGAACCATCGCAACCTTCCTCTGAGTCAAGTGGCCTGACGGGATGAGGACTCTGAGGCTCGGGAAGGGAGCAGCTCTGGTATGTGCTGAGGCTGGGACTTGAACCCCGATCCCAGCATCACAGGCCAGATGCCCCGACAGCCAGGTGACAGTCACCGCGTAGAGAGGCTGCGCACAGCTGTGCTCTGTCAGCGGGTCAGCTGTTACTGTCATTTACAGGCCTTTTGTATTTTTCTCTGACCCCCATGGACACCTAGTGGCTACGCTGCAACGAGGAATCCAGGGTTCTGGGAGGGGAACTGGCATGCCCAAGGTCCGGCAGCCACACCAGGATACCGCAGGCACCTGCAGGAGCCAAAATGCACGCTCTCCTCCCCTGCCTGCGGGCGGCTCACATACAGCTCTGCAGCCCCCCTGCCTCCCGGCCGAGACTCACCAACTCTCCAGGCTGAAGCCAGAACTCAACAACCCACCCCCTACCTGCCTGCACCCCGCCAGCCCACTCATCTGCTCAGAAAACCTCAGTCCTGGGAAGCCAACCTCTGGCCCCTCCCTTCTCCCCAGGATGCCCACGAGGTGGGCAGACACCACCGGAGGCCACAGGACCCCAGGCCTGAGAGCCCCAGCCAAGACGTCCCCAGAGGGAAGGGGGCCTAGCTCTTCTGAATGGTCTATGCTGTCCCCTTCAGCACCAAGTCCCTCAGCCCAGCCTCCTGGTTCAGGAACCAGCTGCTGGCTAAGCTCATTCAGACTTAAGCTCAGAAAACAGACTTCATCCCAAAGCCACAGTTCCTCATAGGGATTTGGGCTGCCACCAAGACCAACTCACCTAAATAGCCCTGGAAGTTTCTTTAATAGAATGCAGACTAACCCAAAGTTCTGATGAGTGGAATCACGACTAACCAGGGGTTCTGACTGCTGGCGTGCCAGGGGTTCCTATAAAGGATGGCTAATTAGCATTTCCAGCTGCTACTGTACTAGATAAAGTGGGTTTTTCTTCAAATGCCTGGAAGTTTCTTACATTTCTTTCTGAGTTTTGCAGAAGTACACACGATTTACAGTAATTGTAAGGTCCTTCCACTCTTTCACATCAACTTCAGAACCCTGAGGTGAGCGGTGAGGCCTGGTCCACTGACACTGTCTCTCTCTCCTCTCCCTCCCTGACAGCCCTCAGCCAGTTGGTCTCCTGGGGCTGGGCAGCTGGTGGCAGAGCCTCCGGTGCCAAGACCAGAGCTGCCGCTCCCACTCTCAGGGTACCCCACGACAACCCCTCCCTCCCTCCCTCTCAACCGGAGGAGGCTCGAGGACAGGAAGCAGGCTCTTCAAGTCTAGATCCCAACTTATACCTGTCCCTCCTGCCCAGCCCAAGTGCAAATGGGTAGCCCCCATTCCCCCCACCTGCCCCCCAATACCCGCCCAGCTCCAGCCTCAAACTAGCCATTGAGAGCTCTCATTTCACGCTGCCCCAAAGTCATTCACAAACCTACCACTCAGTGTCTACGCAGTCAGAGGTGGGAAAGCCCACTTGGGGTTTCTCCTATACCCCAAAAAGGAGGACAGGAGGAAGATGACCCTCTCACCAAGGATGCCCAAGGCCCCCATCCTTCTCCTGCAGCAGCTACTGAAGCAGCCTGAGGCCCTAGCCCGTGCCCATTGCTTCTATCCATACACCCTGTCTACTGTCCCAGAACAAACCATGTCTGGACTGTCCCCATCAGAAACACCCCCTCCCCCCAGTTTCTCCAGCCTCTCAGAGGGAGGCCTGCATTGGGTTCTAGTGGAAACTCCAGTCCTGCCACTTACTAGCTGTGGGATCCCAAGCTTAGGCACGTTGTCTCTTGAAGCCTCAGTTAGCCCACCAGGCTCCTCTGTCCGTGGGATTTTCCAGGCAAGAATATTGGAGTGGGTTGCCATGCCCTCCTCTCCAGGGGATCTTCCCCACCCAGGGATTGAACCTGTGTCTCTTACGTCTCCTGCATTGGCAGGTGGAGTCTTTACCACTAGCACCACCTGGGAAGCCCCAGCACAAAGTAAGTGTTTCGTAAATACAAGACCAGGGACCCAACACACACTCCAAAGCCCCTAATTGTTCTGTAGCTCCCTCTGAGGGGAGCTGGTCTCTTTCTCCCTGGCAGCGAGCAGCTAAACTCTTTAAGACCACCATGCTCCTGATTCTAAGAATCCGAGTGCCACTTAACAGCTACCAGGCACTTTCCACATGCAGAGCCAAGCTTCACAGGTGCTTCATTTTACAGACGCTGAGAGCAGTTAGGCAACGGGTCCAAAACCACACAGCGTGTGGGGGTGCTGCTGTAAGGTACGCCCATTCTGTCCTGCCCCCGCCCCCACCCACTGTCCAGTATGGTTCCCTCCGGTAGGTCTGGGAAACGGGAGAAGAGAAGCAGGGAGCCCTGCTAGTCAACGAGGGATGGAGCAAAGTCCACCAGCCTGAGAAGCCAGTATATCCGGCCAGAAGGTCCTGCCCAACCCACACTCAATCCTACCTCATCCGGCAACTCCGTCTGAAAACGAACAAACCCAGAGGCCCCAGCTCCACACCCAGCACATAGGCTAACCACTGCCTCACAGCTGGGCAGGCCAAGCAGTCCCCGTGCCCAAGTCTGGGGCACTTGGTCCCTAAGGAACTGCTGGATTCCTCCGAAGGGGGGCTTGGAACAGAAACAGGTCAAGCTGGAGTCCCAGGGGACCCAGAGAGGACTCAGTCAAGGCTCAGGCTTTGTGGCCAGAGGGTCCTATGTTGCCACGCCTGCCTGAGGTCAGGCCCGAGATGTCCGCTCCAGCATCTGGGGCAGCTCAACCCACCTCACCGCCCAGCCCTTCCCTTCCCGGAGCAACCAGCAGTTCAGGGTGACAGCAGGGATCAGAGTTCAAGTCCCAGCCCCACCACTTGCCCTACCTATTCCTTCCCCAACCTGTGTCCTCCATCCACACAGAAATCATAAAGAAATCATAAAGCCACTTCCTTAGCAGAGGAAGACTGTTAACAATACGATGAGAGAAGTCTTGCAAAACGAGACCCTACAACGTATTACAAGCTCCATGATTGTTTTTTCTTTTCAATTACTACAGCTAAGCTCTCCAGGTGGAGGGACCTTGGGGAAGGGCCAACACTCAGGATGGTACTGCTGATTGCCCACCACCTTGAACTTGAGGGTAGTTAAGGCAGGAGCCCTGTGGGGGGGGGCGGGGGCGATGTATACGTGTGCAGCAACCTCTCCCTAGCCTGGTTTCTGCAGCCAGTGGTGTCCACCAGCCCGGGCCACACCGCCTGCGACTCCTCCTCCCTCAATCCCCGCCTCGCCTGCCCGGGGCGGCAGAGCACGTGGCCCCAGCCCTGGGGAGCCATTTCTCTCCGAAAGCAGCAAGGCAGGAAAGGAGCCACAGGTCCCAAACTTGGACCCGCAGAGAACAACCCACGCGGTATCGCCGTCCCGCAGACAGTGTTCAGTATGCAGATACACAGGCCCTTCTAGCGATCGGAATTGCGGGCGTGTGCATTTTAACAAGTGTCCAGGGCGATTCCCCTAACCCATTACTCTTCGGCAAAGGACAGATCCCGGAGCAACCCAGGCCAAATTTAGGAAGTAGCTCCCGGGGAGGGCTACGGATCTTGGACCACCCACCCACCCAGCCTGCTGGGCAACCGGACGCTTTCGGTTTATGACTGGGGGGAGGGGCGTGAGACGCGAAAGTTTGCAGCCGAGGCCCACGTGCGGCGGGCAGAGACCCGGCGAGGCTAGGGGCGGCCTACGGTGCTCACTCCCCAAAAAGCCCCCCTACCCGGCCTGCCTCGCCCATCCGGCCCGCGGGGGCCGAGCTTTGTGCGGGTAAAGCATGGCCTGGGCGCGCCTACAACTCCCACAATGCCGCACAGACGCGGCGAGGAGAACTACAGCTCCCGTGAGGCGGCGCGCGGAGGTCCGCCTACTCCAAGAGGGCTGCAGAGTCACGTCCAGGCCTCGCTAGTAAACAGCGCCCGGGCGCGGGCGGCGAGCTAGCAGGCGGCCGCCAACGTGCCCGGGTCCGCGGCGCTCCCGGCGGGCCGCGCTGCCCCCCCGGGTCCCGCCCACTCCCGCACCCCCTCTCCAGCACGCCCCCCGACCCCGCTGCAGCCCCGGTCCCAGCAAACACTCACAACCACCCGGCTCCCCGCCCCCCCTCCCCGCGCCCGGAGCCGCGGCGTGGCTGCATTGTAGCCCCTGGCCCCGCGGCCCCAAGCGCGACACGGGCCCCCCAGTCCCCCTTGGAGGGGGGGCCCAGAGAGAGCGATGAAGGAGGGAGAGGAAGGAAGCCGCCGCGGGAGGGGGGAGGAGGAAGCGCGGGGGGGAAGCCACCAGCACCAAGCATGGCCGGGACTGCTGCAGAACCACGTGGGTCTGTTTGCAATTTACAAACGTCGCGACTCGCCCGCCTGCAGCGGACAAAAGTGACCGGGGCCGCTCGGGGCCCCCACGTTCCGAGGGAGGAAGGTCCCCAGGCGGCCCAAGCCTGGCGCGCGGGGCTGCAGCAGCCTCGGCGGATAAGAAAGGCGAGAGGGTCCGCGGCGCGGGCCATGCGTGCGCACACGCGCGCCCGCCCGGGCGGACTGGCCGGGGGCTGCAATCGTGGGAAGGGGGTGAGGGGGAGGAGGAGTACACACCTACAGAGCCCTCCTATCACTTCTTTCTCTGTTTTCCTGAAATGTTGCAAAGAGGGCACCTTCTGAGTGGGCACCATGAAATACTCCATAGCGATCGGCCCCCCTCCTCTGCACGAGCCAGGTCCCGCGGTCCGCCGGAGAATGCAAGATGGAAATCCGAATCAAAGGGCAGCGCCGGACGGAGGTGCAGAATCGGCCGGTCCCAGATGCTGGCTGCGGCGGCGGCGAGGGGAGGGAGGCGGGCGGGAGGGGCGGGAGGGAGGTCTCTCCGGCCTGCCTCCCCGGGCGTGTGTATGTGTGTGTGTGTGTGTCTGTGTGTGTGTGTGTGTTTGCAGCTGATCAGATGTCTGTTTCAAGGCGGGAAACAGCTGGTGAAAACTCAGCACTCCCCCGGCCTCCTTCCGCGGAGTAAGGAATTGCATGTAAACAAAGGACTATTTGCAGCGCCCCCCGGGCGGCGCAAGGCCGGGGCGAGATGGGCGCGGGCCCCCGGGGGCGGGTGGTGGCCCCGGTCTGCGGGCCACCCCCTTCAGCTCCGGGTGCAGGGGCCGCGGGCGGCCTTGGGGGCGCGGCGTGAATGGAGCGAGCTGCGGCCGAGCTACATGCGCCACTATGGGTGATGAGGTCCATCAGCTGACAGGTTGGCAAGCGTAGCAAAAAAAAAAAAAAAATCAGGGAGGGAAGGGTGGAGGCAGGCCAGGACAGCAGCAGCCCCGGAGGCCGGCTGCCGGCGCGGCCCGGAGGTCCGGTGGCTGCTGCGAGTCGCCTCCTGTCCCCGC